TCGACCCATAGAGTGGAAACTGTGAAATGTTGTGTCTCAGAGCAAGACTGAGAACACTGAATGGAATGATACTGAGTTGTTATCCTGTGATACTGTCCATGATACCCCTCACAGGAGTGCAGAATACGTCTCCCGTTCATCCAAACAGCACCAGAAAGGCCCATGCTCACAAGATGGGCACCATGCCGGGTTACGCCTGGTCCTGAGGAGACATCGCTAAAGCATTTCAACAGGGCTTCTCTGAGCCAGCTCCTGGGGCACACACAAAGACCCATTCAGGGTGGCTGCAGTTCTGAAAGCCAGCAGATGCTCTGAGGGGCGTGGGAAGGGGTGGAGAAGCCACACAGCGCCTGGCACCAACCCTCTGGGCCCCATCCTGGGCAAGTGGGCCTGGAGGGCTTGGGTCTGTAGCCACTCCACAATTTTTGTTTCTCCCTGGTATTTTTTTTTTTTTTTGACCATGGATCCAGGGCAATAAGGACACCAGCTGCCATAGTGTAGATTGAATAACTCCCCCGAGGAGGCAGAAAGAACCACCCTTCTAATGCCAATCCAGTTGGCAGGGTATTCAGTTGAAACAGGCCAATTCTAACCAGTCTACTATTTCTAAGTGTCTCTTTTTAAAATGCGTGTGTGTGAGAGAGTGTGTGTGTGCGCACATGTGTATATATGTGTGTGTTCATCTGTCTGTGTAAGGATGCGCATGCACATGAAGATGCCATGTAGATAATGACCAAAGTATAGCCTCGGAAGTCATCTTTGGGAATTTAGTCTACTCCCTTTGAGACAGAATCTTTCATTAGGCTAAACTGGCCAGTGAACTTTGGGGATCCTCCTGTCCCTGCCTCCCTGGAGTTGGGATGAAAAGCATCCTTTACCATGACCAACATTTTTACATGGATCTCAGGAAGCAAGACAAACATTTTACTGTCTGAGCCACCACGGCCATGCTACCCAGTCTTCAAAGTGCCCTTTTCTGCAAAACACACCTCCCAGAGGTTCCCAGCCTGGTCAGATACAGGCCAGAGCACAGATGTGAATTATGCCCCAAGATGACAGGTGGCTCCACACATTTTAGCCTCGCCCTTCCTACCTATTAGGTGATCTGTTAGAACTCTGATTGGCTACCATATATTTCTTCTGAGTCTTGAGCCTCTCTTTCCTCTCCATGCCTCAGCTTGCACAGAGAATTCCTGGTCTAGGTCCCCAGCTGTACAACATCTGAAGCACCAAGGCTGCTTCAAGGACCACATCCCTCAGATGCAGAGAAAAGGAGGATTCCCCGTCTTGCCTGTTTCCTTCTAATACACAATGAGCTATTGTGTCAATGTCATAAGCCAACAGCGAAGCAGAAAACTGAGCCTCTTGGAGCCATCAAGGTGGTAGGAGTGGTAGGACATTGTTTATGAGTCAACATCTCCTTCTAGAAAAGAACTGAAAGGCCTTCCCAGGATCTGAAGGTATTTGCAATTCGCTGGCTGTGTGTGCTCATAAGAACATCACCCTCCCTAGCGGGACAGCCTGAATTAGGGATCTCCCGCAGCATCTAGGGCATGCCCTCTTTCAGCCATCAGAAAACTATGCTGAGACTGTCCATTTATTTGTCTCTGTGTTCTCAGTGGTCAAATGCTATACTTAACAGCGACATCTCCCAGTGCTACCAGAGGGCAAGAGTAAAGAGCTGACTGAGCAGAATGAGCGCATGCCCTCTTTGACGGGAGTTGTTGGCATAGACTCTCCTGTTTCTCATGACTATCATGTAACCTTTGCTCTCAGGAAGTTCTGACTTGTGTTTATCTCAATTATCAGCCATATGCATATATTTCTGGGTTTTTTTTCCCCTTCTAATTTTGAGAAACAATTGCTGGCCACGTGTTTCACTCTTATCAGACTAACAGCAGAAGTCACCCTTCCTACAAAGTCAGCTTTATTTGAGGAATTAAACCAGGATTGAGTTTTCAAGATCTCAAGGCCGGCTTTTCCTTTTGATGAATAAATAGGGAAAGAGTTTTGAGGTGGGTTTTGAAACAGACATAGTGGTGCACACCAGTAATCTCTGCGCTCTACAGGCTGAGGAGAGAGGATCGTGAGTTGGAGATCAGCCTAGGCTACAGAGTGAGACTTGCCTCAAGAAAATGATACAGAAAGGATGTTGATCAACCAGACTCTCCATATTGCTGTAAACTTTTGAGATGGGCCTCCAACATGTCAGGCTGCACACATACATGTAAGAACATGTGTAAAGGACAAATGTGTAGGAACCTGCTGTCAAGAGGTGGTCAATCTGCAACAGGGAACCATTGGAAGGCAACAAAAACAGACGTTCTCTCTATGGTCCCTTAGCTAAAATCACTAACTCATTGGAGAGCACACAGGAAAGTCCCAAGTCCTAAACAAAACAATGAACCAAAAACCAAACTTGGGAGAACTTGGGATGGGGGTGGGGGGCTCATTTGGGATAAGTTGAAGACATGATGGAAGGCCGCGAAGGACAAATGCCATATTTCTGCTTCCATTTCAAAAGAAATGTGTGTGTTTTCACGGCTAAGGAGACAGTCTTCGCTGACCACACATTCAGAAGGGCCAGCAAGATCTACACCTCAGCGGCCCTCAAACTGGCAGAGCCCTTCCTTCTGGCCAGTGAGCCCAGGGCCTGCGTGACTGCAGGCAAGTCATTTGGGGACACTGGAATTCTGAGCTAGGAGCCAGCCGAGGCAACACAGATAAGGTCTGGACAGAAACCTGGCAGCCTAAGCAACATCTGCAGGGGCTAAGGGCTTGGCTCTGGCTTCCGCTACAGGCTGGAGACTGGGAAGTCGGCCTGTGGTGCTGCTTACAGCAGGTGGCGCAGGAGAGCAGAAACCAACCCTTAGAGGACCCAAGAGGAAGCAGGAAGCCCCAGTGTTCATCCGGCCTTTGCAAGGAAGCCCCATTGTCAAGGGAGGCCAAGGAAGCTATGCTCTCCTCGTAGTCCCGAGAAAGACACATTTCCTGGGAGGAGTACAGAGTCAGATATGGGTTCTTCTCGGGGAAAGAGAAACCAAGATAGAGGTCCGGAGATAAAAACTTTCAAGAAATGCACCAAGAAAATCAAAGGATCAATGAAGACCGTTGATTTCTGGAGCAGGGTAGAAGAAGCTGGTGGAGCCGAAAGGCGCGAACCACGCTGAACTCTGAGACAGGGCATGAACAAAGTTGGCTTTCCCAATTCTAGCCCCAGCTGCAAAACAGAATCAGAGCAGTGACAAGAATAACACCCACCTATTATGACTGGCAACAGTCTAGAAGCCGCAGCAACAAAGAAAGCATGGATACGTCTTAAAGCGACTAAAAGAAGCCACCTTGGTGTTTCCGGGACTTCTGAAGCTTGTCTCCGATCACATAGTTGGTGGGAGAGAGCAATGTGAAGGCTCCCTTCCCACACAAATACCCTGAATTCTTCATATTCTGCGTTCCACAGGAAAGACAGAACGGTCCTTCTCATTTGCTTACATGGACAGCATCATAAGTTTAAGAACCTGAAGCAGAGGAGGCTTCTAAACGCTGACACTTGACATACAGGGTAGAAGGGGGGTACACCTGACATACAAAGTATAAAGGGGAGGTGCACCTGACATACAGAGTGTAAAGGGGTTACACCAGACATACAGGATATAAAGGGGGTACACCTGACATACAGGATATAAAGGGGGTACACCTAACATATATTTCTCAAAAATGTAACATCTCCAAAGCCCGAAGCCGCAGGGAGTTAAGAGGAGCTTCAGCTGTGTGGGTTGACTTGGGGATAAACCATGGGGAAATGCAAGGAATTTTCCTTATTTTGCCATTTGGTTTCCCTCCATGTTGGGACTTCTCTCGCAGGCAAGGAGCTCTCTGAGCACCGTGTTTCATAAAACAGTGCTCAGAGGTTATGTAAGCACAGAGAACAAGCGCTGCGAGGCTCAGAGAAACCGTGGAAACGTTTAGTGCATTTGCCTCCCATTGTGTGCCAGAAGCATCTGGAGTCTTCGCTCGAGTGGTAGATGTGTTCTGGGGCTACCCCAAGACCCACCTGCCACCTTGGGGGACCCCTCCTACACTACAGGTGTTGCAATGACAGAATGTGTGAGCTCACCAAACACAATGGCAGTATGAAGAAAGGGTCCGCTCAGAAAAGATTCCCCATGGAGGATTATATGGGAGTTATTTCATGCCCTATGCCTTTGAATATGCTGTTGTCTGTGTTTCAAATGCCTTCCTGCTCTCATGATTTTCCCTTGGTGCATCTGGTCTTCTAGAATTGGTCCACACTGTAGCTTTTAGCCCTCAGTAACCAGCACCCTGACCCGTAGGAATCCTGAGTCAGTCTCCCGCAGGAACGATACTTACATCTTTATTTTTCTGTTACATGCTTCATGAGCCACCTGGGAAACTACTAGGATTGTTTCTCTGAACACTTTTCTAGAACCTTCTCCTATAACCTCTCCCTAAGCAAAGTTGCTAGATCAAAACAGAATGACCAAATTTGCATTTCCAGGAGGCAACAGTCTTTTGGGGCGTCACCAATATGGTATGTTTTGCATTTCATTTCTTTTATTTATTTGAGCAGTCTTACGCCTGAGAGGTTCTGCCCCAGGCTTCCCTTGCCCTGTAACTAGTCATTCAAATCTGCAGGTTCATCTCCTCTACACTGGGTCTCCTCATCCTAGCCAAAGAGAAGGAGTTGCCCTTCAACTCATCCCCAGCAGCCCGAAAGAGCAGACAAAGGTCAGTTTGAAACCCATTCTGTGTGGCTGCTGCCTCGCCTACCTTTAGGATGTTTATTCAATAGAAAAGAGGGATGGGTGCCGCAATTCTACGTGATAGCGCTTGTTCATTTATTTTTAAAATGAATAAGGTCATCATTTGCTTCTCATTTAAGCGTGGTTTAATGAGTTGTATGACTATGACACTTAGCAATCCTGCTAAATTCATGTTTAATTTAAAAGATTGCTAATGCTTGATGCAGTGGCATTTACCTTTTGGAGATCTGCTAGTTCTTCCTACCCATATTCTTCTGAAGGAAGCGGGGACATCCAGGTGGCAAAGAAGGACTCTGCAAGACATATCCGGTCCCATCAGAATGTGCCCGTTGTCACAAATATCTTTCCCTTTATTTTCCTATGTAGCAAGTGTAGACTTAATACATGCACTACAGCTGGATTTGCAAACACCAATGAACTGTGGGCAGCCCAGTTCCCGGAGCATGCATTGCTCTTCCATCTATGGCTCAGGGAACATCAAGGAAAGGGGGGGGGGATGGAAAGATTGCAAAAACCAGACTACCAGGAAGTCTGCTACAAGATTGCATCTCTCAGAAGTGGCTACCTAAACAAGACCTGAACAATGACGATATCAACAGACATACAGCACAGAAGGGGGAAATCTCGTGAGGGTCTCACACCTAGACAAAGAACGACAGGCAGCAAATGACGGCTGGGAGAAGAATGAGCCTCTCCCAGAAAAGAGCCCCCGATTGGTTATCCAGCACAAAATAGTCAACCCTGAAACTGTGTACACACAAACATATAGACTCAGCAGGTTGTACTTATATTTGTGCGTATATATGTAACAATGGTAATCAAGGGAAAAGAGATAATCAATTTGAGAATGGGGGAGATGAGAAGGGTTGAAGGGAGGGGGCATGGGAGGAACTGGAGGGAGGAAAGGGAAGGGAAAGCGATGTAACAATATTTTAATCAAAATGAAATCCTTTAAATGTAAGTGTATGTAAAAGTAATGTATGAGAAATAAACTTAATATTTTCAGGTAGCTAGAAAGTTCTCGGTGTTGGTATTTGGTTCAGATGCAGCTGACTCTAGTGTAGAGATTAATGTGTGGTGCTTTGGATGAGAAATGTCCCCCAATAGGGTCCTGTGTTTGAACACTTGGTTCTCAGCGGGTTCTGCTGCTGGGGAAGGTTATGGAACCTTTAAGAGGTGGAGCCTGCCTGAAGGAATTATGCCACTTGAAGCTGGCTTTGAAATTGTATAGCCTGCCTCCCTTCCTGTCCTCTTTCTGCTTCCTGTGTGGGGATAAGGTATGATCACCCATCTTTCTGCTGCCACCACCAGGCTCTCTGCCTTTCATCACGTCTTCCCCTCTCCTGAAACTACCAGCCAAAACAAACCCCTTTCTTCTCCAAAAGTGTGAAACTAGGAATAGCGTGAATTCCTTTCAGCGATTTCCACCAAAATGAATACTTTTTCCATTTGTATCTATTACTTGAGGGGAAAGCTGCAGCAAGGATGACGGCAGTACTGTTTCTCGCCATTTCAAAAGATGCAAGAGATTGTGATCATTTCATGATTGGGACAAATTGAAAAGGACTGGAAAGACTTTTTATTAATTAATGTATTATGTGTGTGTTTGTATACATATGGATTTACATATATCACGTGGACACAGTGCCCAAGGAGGTCAGAGGGCAGCAGAACCCTGGAAACTGGAGTTTCAAGTGACTGCGAGCTGACTGGAAACTGAGCCCAGAGCCTCTGTAAAGAGCGGTCAGCAGTCTTATCTACTGGACTGTCTCTCCAGGTCCCAAGGATTGGAGGCATTTTATATGAGGCTCCCTGACAACATTAATTATAATTAGCACAGGATATTTTTGAGTGAAAATATTCTAGAAGATAGTAAATGTGAAGTCCATATAAAGTCTCCCCGATAATCATTTTCTATTTAGCAATACCTACTACCTGGCTTTAAATAGTACAGGAAAAGTATAAGATGTTAGTGGGTAGAAAATGAAAATTACAAGAATGAATAAAAAGTTTTAAAAATTAATGCTTTATACAATGAACAAAGAGTTGTGCTGCTGTTAAAGAAATCGTGAAAAAACAACGTAAGAAATTCAGAGATCTGACAGGAAACACGGTGTAGTTCAGCTGCCCTAGCACAGCCCCTTGGTGTCACATCCCAAGCAGTCTTCACAGGCAGAGTCATACAATGAACCGAACATTTCTAAGTAGTCTCCAAACTTACATCATTCACCACTACAAGAAATTTGCAAGCATCAGGATCTCAAGACCTGGAAGTTGCTCCCGATATCGCCCAAACCACCCAAAAGTCCTGTTTCTTCAATCTTACAGTAAGATATCCTAGCGTGTTTACATCCTGGTTTTGTGCTATGAATACTTCCATGATGAATGTATACCAAATAAGAGAAATCCTGGGCCAAAGGAACATCTTCATCATAACGCTGGCTATTTGTCACCGACCACCTGGCTGTGTAGACAGAGCTAGGCAGTCATTGCATTGTAGCATCTGTACTGAGAGACCATGGAGTGCCAGGCACTGGGTAAGCCCTGGAGGGGCAAAAGGTTCAAACCCTTGGTGATCACTAGGAGAAGCTCACAGTTCACAGTGAGCGATGGGAAGTTTTGCGTGCATCGAGTCCATCACCAAGTTTCACAGTTCAGAGAGGGTCTCAATTTGTAGCTCAGGATGGTCAGAATGACCTATGTAGCCCAGGCTGGACGTGAACTCAGGCACTCTTCCTACTTGAGTCTCCCAAGTGCCAGGGCTACAGGCAGAAGCCACCATGTCCAGCAAGTCCAATGACTCTTAAAATCCAGTGATTCTTAGCCCATCCCTGGTTTATGCTCCAGCCATGCACACATCATCTAATACAACATCTGGCTGCCTTTCTCCTCAGTAACCCTCTTTCCCAGAGAACCTCCTCTTCACCTGACTCCGAGAGGTGTTTTTCTCCAGGAGAAAGCTGGCTACTTTCTGTTCCTTCTCACTTTCGGTTAGCCCAGATGGCTTCTAAGTTGGAAGGGAAGTGGGACATCACCACCAGGCCCCATTCACTGAGGACAGTTTATTCCTAGTGTACCTGGATCGCAGACCCAGGCAATGGAGAGAAGGCTTGAGAAGAAACCCAACAGTCCACATACTCTGCTTCTAGATCTCTGATGGGTTTTGTGAGCAGGTATCCTTGAAACTGTCCCCCAGACCTCTGCCTCTCATAATCCTGTCAGAAAGGATCACAGTTACTGAGCCATGTGTTTCTTGGCTGTCGGGATGGCATATCCGTCAGGGGGTCCCATCTGATTGCCCAGCAAACGAACCTAACTAATGCACATAAATTAACACATTTAATCTGGAGAGGTGCCCAAACTCTCTTTGTTGTTGTTGGTTGTTTTTTTCTATCAAATACTTGATCATCCCCCAGGTTTTCATCAGCCTGTTTCCAACATGGACCCCTGAGCTCGTTTTGAGTAGATAGTTCCAGTTTACCAAATGACCTTTACAGTTGACCTCTGACAGTTGGGGATCAGACAAAGTAGAGACTTTATTGCCATTAGGTGAGGTGAGGAGAATAGAGGTCAGAGTTTAATTGGGGGCCCAAGTCGCACAGCTCAATCTTGAAGGGCCAGAGATGGAGCCAAGATCTTCTGATTCAGTTTTCTTTGCATTGACCCTCTTATATCTGTCCAGGCTGAGATATCAGTTCGAGAAGACGAACACGGAGGGGTCTGCTATGTTCCCCTTTGCATTTTGAATCTCCAATTCACAGTTCACTAGAAATGTCTGACAAATGACCCCCAAGTATCCGAGTCACCTTCGGTGTGTGACGAGTCTGAGAAAAGCTCTACCCCAGTTATGACAGCGGTGTGCGTGTGCGTGCCTTCTTTCATGTACAAAGCCCGTCATCCCACTGCCGAAAACTTCTTTCCACACTCCACGCTGCTCTCTTCAATGGCAAAGCAGATAACTATATTAATTTATCCATTCCTCAGCAGTTCTTGATCCCGGAATAAGTGAATTGTTCTCTTGCCTGTAGCTTCACTACACCCTGGAGTTGCTCTTCTGTTTCGGTCAGTCCCACCTCATAGCTGCCCTGGGCAATCTTGCTGATTCACCAGCAATAATTGGGCAACACATCCATCAGAAGAGAGAAACAAAGTCCAACCTCAGAGTCACCTGGGACTGGTAGATATTTCCAGCCTTGGGGACAGCTATCTTTTGAAACAGAGATTCAAGGCCCATTTTGGAGTTTATAAAGAAACATGAAATGGCTGGGCCAGCACGGTGTAACAGGCAGGCGATGGCAACAGGGCTACCGTTCATTTCTCCCTGCTCCACTGACTGCTCCACTGGGGTCTGGGCTGATTGCCACCTCCCTAGTGTTCCTTGAAACTGTGTGGCACATTCTAGAAGATCCCGTTTCCTAAGCTGTGCCTCAGGCATCTGCTAGACGGCTTTTCTTTCATTTACTGCTCAGAAGTCCTTTCCTCTGCACCCTGTCAGCATCCCACCCTCTCCCCCACAACCCCAGAGGCCTCCTTTCTTACTTGGTATGTTTTCCACGGGACACGTGACTGTAACATCATATAAAATTCAATTATTTTTTGTTGGCAGTTATTGCTCAGCTGCTCTGCTATGGCATAGCTTTGTCGTTTTATGCAGGTGTTCATAGAGTATTTGCTGAATTGAGGGAATGGCAGGAAATCAGGCAATACCTATGTGGGGAGGGGTCAAGACTTAAGCCATCCTCTGAATAGATCCCATTCGTTAAATATCTTCTGTATACAAAACACACTGACATCTACGAGATCTCATTCACTCAGCCTCTCAACGAGGCGGAGACTCATCCTGTTAGCATAGGCAAGGAAATTAAACTAAATCACCCTAGATTCAGAAGTCAAACTTGGTTCTCTTTTCACACAAAGCAGAGTCAGCCTACCTTGTACCAGAACTTCTTAACCCAGGAAGATGCTGCCCTATCACAGAAATTTTGTCCGACGTGAAAAGTGAGTTCTGGGCCATCCGAGCGGGCATGCCTTTCTCCTTCGACTCAGGTGAACTTGAGAGCTTCTTGTTCTTTGAGAAGACGTCCTTGCTGCCTCGTGATTCTGGTGCTGGCAACCAGGCCTGTGGCTGAGGCTTCTGGCAGTTTGCATCTCTAATCATTCAAGAGTTTAATTGGTATCGTGGCCTCCATCAGGTGTGCTGAAAATGAAGCTGATGTCAGAGCTTCCTTAATTAGTCTGAAGGAAAGGAAGGTTTTTTACATTCTGAATCTGCCTCCACCGGTATAAAGGTGAA